CCTCCTCTCCCTTCCCCCTCATAGCCCATCGATCCATTCATCTCCCTCCTCCCTCTCCCCTGCACCCAGCACCCCAGGCTACAGCAACAGAACGAGCGTCCTTCTGCCAATCCTGTTCTCTGACTCTGCAGGACCGCTCTGCCCTCTCCCCACACCCCTTCCCAGCATCCGCATTTCCATTTGCTCCCTCTTAACTTCCCCCCCTCTCCCCGCTGCCACCATCGTTTTACCCCAGTTTGGAGCCTAAGAGAACAGAACAGGGGGACGGAGCCAGCAAAGAAAAAAAGTTCTGTCTTGAGTTTGTGAACTTTTTTTTAAATAAAACAAAAGGAGGAAAAAAAAAACCACAAAAACAAAACAAAAAAAGAAAAGGACTTTTTTTTTCTAAAAATATATTAAAAAATTAAAAAAAAAAACCAAAAAGAAATAAATGATACTTAAAAAATTCTATGAGCTTCACCGGACTGAATCACCACCTTCCCTTACATAAACTTCAGTTAAGATTGTAGCCATATTAAAAATGAAAAAAAGCGAAAAAAGTACAACAGCAGCAGCGACAGCAAACAAACAAAAGGCAAAAAGGACTGATGACATTTTATCAGTATTGTGAATAAACTTGAACACAAAACACAAGCAGTTCCATGTCATATCTTCAGTTGTAGAACTTTTTCCTGTCCAAGGTAAAGCGACCAACTTGAACTTTCTATTGCAACACGATTCACGGTTATTATATAAGGGAATCAGTGTTCATGTATGTATATATTTATTTATGTGTAATTTAATGGGAATTGTAAATATGGTGAGTCTGTTTTAAGCCTTTTTTTATTTATCTGGTGATCTCGTTTACCTCTTGTTTAGTGGGTTTTAAATCTTCCCCTCTTAGTTCATCATGTGGTTCATGGTACTTATTTAGATATCAGAGGTTTTTTGGGGGTTTTTCTCTGGGATTCATCATTTTTAGCCCTGTTGTAGCATGTTAAAGGCGACAATGAAGCAGCTGAACAAATAAAAAACCCATGAATTTTTATATATAATTAGTATGACATTTAGTTTCTCGTTGAAGATAAAATAAAGTGATGTTGGACCCTGGCAAGGTTTTTAAACATGTTAGTGGTTTTACAACCCTTATGTGTTGTGGAAAATGAAAGAAGAAGTTATTTTCATTCACTGTCCTTCTCCCGAAAGCACCATCAGAGCAATAAATTAATACTGTCTTTTAAAACAAGATTTAGCTTTTCTTTCCTTTTTTCCCCCCTCTTTTTTTTGTTTCTTTCTCCCTTTCTTTTGTTTTTCTTTTTCTCCTTTTTTTCTTTTTTTTTTTCCCAAAGAACTTCAAACATTCGGGACCACCTGGTATCCTGTATTTCCACTGGCCATATTGGAAGCAGTTATAGTTGTATTGTATTGAGTTGTGCCGGCAGTAGTTTCCATGCCTATCAATGTATCATAGTCCTTTGTTGCCCAGATAAATAAATATTTGATACGCTTTATGTCGATTTTTTTATTCAGTGGCTGTCTTTACCCAGGCGTATTTTTGTTCTTGGCAGTATTTTTTATTCAGTATGGTTACAGTAATTGAGTTTAACTCTCCCTTGACAATTGCTCCTTGCAATAAGCAGCTGAACCCATTGTTTCCCTCAAGTATAATAAAAACTTACTTTCAACTTGGAGTTCAGAGCAGGGTATCATTTAGATATTCCACTGAGTCTGTATTCAGACAAATGACACAATAAAGCACAATGTATTCTTTTGGATAAAAAATTGTCTGTACTACTAACAAAATGACACACTATCTTTTCTTTAACCAAAACATAATTTTATTTAAAAAATAAAGTTTTATTTTATTTATGTTGACCTCTAGGTTTTTATTTATGTTTCTATCTAGCGTGCAGAATTATAAGCCTATAAAATTTTGTACGTGTAGTTGTCCTAACGGAGAGCGGAGGTTAGAAAAGACATTATCCCGAGAAGGACGTTTTAAAAAGAATCATTACCGAGCACATACTGAAAAGGAGGTGCTGTGAAAAAAATTATATACTGGTGAATCAGAGCCGGGTGCTCCCTCCCCCTCAAGAAAAAAGAAAAGCTCCGTAGTCGATGCCGACGAAATCATCTCGCGGTTGTGAACTTTGGTGAGATCTTGCAGGAGACAGATGATTTCTGACTGATGGTTCGTGTTTTAGTGGAATGCACAGACGGACGTTTTGAGGCGGTTGCGTCAGTTTGTAAGGGACTGAAATTTTTATCTTGAGTTTCTTCTCGTGGAAACCAGTTGTAAAATAGGGAAGTTTGCTTTAAAAAAGAATGGAGTGTGCTTCTTGAAGGTGGGCTGTAAAAACATGTGAGAATTCAGACTTTGAATCTATTTTCTTTGGCCCGGGGGGCAGGTGAAGTCAGGATCAGGCTGGATTATATTATGTCATAGGAAGGGAGGCTAACGCAGTTTAGAATGTAAAGGCATTTTAAGGAGATGGTCTCCGTTAAGTGCTGATGATATTTTGGTGGTGGTGGCTGATTTTTCTCTCTTTCTCTTTCCTTCCCTCCCTGACTCTCTCTTTCTCTCTTTTTTTTCCTTTTTGCTCAGGCAGAAATTGAGGAGGCTAAGAGGGAGGTGTTTACAATAAAGCTGCAAAGAGAATTAACATTTGCTCATATATTTTGACGTTTGGTAGGGCTGGTGAAGCAAAGCATTAGATAAAGCCCAAGATGTTTCATTTTGCTTTGGTAATCTACTTATGGAAGGCAGTGTAAAATCAATCTTGCCAAGCAGAAAGAGAGTTGGTGGAGTCTAAATTCTATTTTCGAGAGCCAGCCAGTTTATAAAAACGGTGAATATTTTTTTCCTATAAATTGAAAGTGGATCTTTTGAATGCAAAGCTGCAATTGTTTTAAAAACAGTTATTTATTATTTCCAAGAGAGACTGGTTAACTGTAAAGTAGATGTAACAAAATAATGAGGTGAATGAACCCTAACTGTACATATTCTTGACATAAATGAAATGCACAGTATTGTAGCAGGTGAAGTGAAGCATTGTCTATCAGGGCTGTTTTTCTTGGCTGCATCTCAGATTGTGTGTGGGATCCTAACCTCAGGCACAATAGCATTCATAAACAGCAATACATTGCTGCTCTTTCTACAGCAACACATAAATACTCATTTTTAAACGAAAACAATCTTATTAAATACCATTCATTCATATCTGGATTTACAGATGCTTGTTACTTTTTGAAACCTGTACCCAATATAATCGTTTTATACTGGGCAATGTATAAAGCAGTCTTATGCTAGAACATTATAAGGTCATAATAAATAATGTTTTAAAGATATAATTAGCTACTTTATGCTAGGAGAGCGCATTTTAAGTATCCTGCTGCTGCATTAGCAAGACACCAGAAAACAGAAATGAAATGACCTTGCATAGATTTCTTTATTACTATTATTTCTAAGGAAGGATTTTACAGGCGATAATGGAAATCAGACTAGCTTCGGTTCAGCCTCTTCTGCTGTGACCAATATGCAGTTACTAAAACGTGCTAATTACTTCAGCGTTCTTCGGACGCGTTTTTAACGTTGTGATCGAGGCGCAGCAGTGAAATTCTAGGTCATGCTTTTGTACACTAAACAAAAATCTGCTGTTATTTTTTTTCCCCCGGATTGGCTGAAATGAGGGTGAGCGGTGGCTGAATGTTAGACCGTTGCTGCCACGCTAAGCTAATTCCTACATGTGAACCAAAAACGCAGCTCGGTGCTCTTTCACCGTGAACAAGGACAGCCCTCCTCTTTGTACCGTAATTTACCCCACCCTCCAAAAATCGAATATTAATATAATTTGAGATTTAACTGGTGGAACAGCCATCAGGACAGCAATGCCCCGCAGCTGAAATAATATTTAAAATAGAAGGGGTTTGACATTTGAGAAGTCAGTGGCTTGAAATACCCAGTTGTACTTAGCTAATTCAGTCCTTAACCTCTGGTTTCAAATAAATCAATTACAGTCGATTCCACTTCAGTTCAGAAGTGCACGAGGTTTTTAGTTAATTGAATACATTTTATTCACTTGCTAGGAGTATTCATTTATCCAAACCCTTACATTTAAAGGCGATTTCTTTATTGTCCATGATAAATTCGACTGCGTAATCAGATCAGCTCCTTGTTTGTTTACTCGTCTTCTGCCTCGCATTTACATTCCAGAATGCGCACTTCCCTTTCCCTCCTCGGTACGTGCATGTCTCAGCCCAGACCAGATTCCCAGAGCGTCAGCCCTCGCGTTCACAAAGTGTAGTTAAAACAACAAGCGCCCTTCCGACGGGGAGCAACGTGAAGCCCGTCCCAGCCAGCGAGGGCAGAGTGATTTGAACCGGCTCGATAATCAAACGCGAAAGGTCGGGAGTGTAAAAAATAAATGGTGCCTCTGATTCTGTCCCATCTACCTTTTCTGAATGGAAGGGCTACGTCTCTGCTCGCTGCCCTGCGAGCGGCGGGAGCTCTTAGACTCTTAGGGCAGATTTGAAGCCGGCTCGGTGTCGGCGGGAGATGATTTTTGTCGAGCACAGGGCAGTGAAGTTGTGTCACTGGTCCACTTTGAACAGATATTGATACACGCCGTACTTTGTGCGTGTTGTTTGCGGAATCCTGCTGGCGTTCGTTTGCTGTTTTGGAAAGGGAAGGGGTTAATTAGCATCATTATCAATCACTAATGCTTGTCTAACGTGTCCAAAGAATAATCAAGTTAGGGGACTGCATGAAGCTAACATCTGCTTCATTCCAGCTAAAGATTTTTCCCTATATCGTTCAATTATTGGAAGTCCACACCGGTTTCAGGCTTTGTCAGGGCCATAAACCAGGGTCAGATCGTTAGAAATCTAGAATGGAGGGGAAAGTGCAATATAAATAACAAATGGCTTCATTATTTGAGTTACAGGTGCAAGAATGGCTGTGAAAATGAGCAGGGATTACTAGAATGTGTTCCTTCTTTTTATCTCCAATATGGGGGAAAAAAGACATCAGCCAAGCCCGGTTCTTAAATAATTTATTCTGCACAGGTTGCAGCCTCTCTATTTGCAATATTTAGTTTAGTAACCCCAAACTCCCCAAAATAAGTAGTTTAAAGCAAGAAATTGGAAACAGAGCAAAAGTAAGTGTCTCTCATGACCCATTACTAGTGGAGCCTTGCCGGCTTCAGAGTAGCAAAATAGCCTCGTTTCTCCTCTTCTGGTTGAAGTTTCTAGGCTTTCTTGGGTGGGTGAAACAGCTGATGTTTCGGGCAGGGTAAACAGAAATACAGCTTATGATGGTGGAGAAGATTCATGTCCTTGAACTGTTACTCCTCCGTTCTGGCAGATATAAAGGCGACAGATCTGTGGTCTTTTATTCCCTCTTACAACCACTGTAGTCATTTCTCTCTGATGCCGAGTTCAACTTCGGTAGCCCAAAGGGCCAAAAGTTCTTATCTAACCAGCGGAGTGGTTAGAGCACCTTCACCGAGTGAGTGCAGTGTGGAAATCAGACTAAGCCTAATGAGAGCTTTCTGGTAGGGTAGGAGCGACCCGTTGGTTCCCAGGGGCACTTTTATTTTAGGGCCTGATTTTGCAAGGCAGGTGCCAGCACCCAAAGCCTGTGGTTTCCCCATGCAAGTGTGTGAGTCCCTCCCTCTTGAAACCAGGGCCCTGAGGTTACTCCAAGCTCCACGGTTATTGTCCTGTTCATAGTCACGGCACTCGTTTGCGCAGACACCTTCAAACCAGGCTAAGGAGGGTAAACTGGAAAAGCATAGCCTAGGTGAGGGAGAGATCGTCTTGTGTTTGGAGCAGGAAGGTGGAGGACGGCCGGGTGTGAAGTGCGAGCTATTTCCCCACGTCGTTTTTTGCGTGTGCTGTGCACGCGTGTGCGCGCACACACACACACACACACACGCACATCTCCTAGTTTCTACAGGAGATCTGCAGCATCTACATAAAGACCTTGCCCATCCAGAGATGCTCTCAAGCCCTGTTGCTGTTGTTGCCTGTGGTATAGTTAATTCTCTTTGTAATACTCTATTGAAAGCAGATGCAGGGGCTCTGAATAGAGAGTTGTTTTCTAGCAGGAGTGTGGGCTGTGCAGTTACTCTCGCAGGCTGTGGGATGTATATTTCTTCTACACGATGTTTTTGGTTATGTTCCTACCCGCTCGTTCATCCTGCAAAACTTCCTGCCTCGGCGCTGCTTTGGGCACAGCCGGCCCCCTCCTCTCTGTGTATGATCCACCCTGATCCCCAAAGCTGAGGATAAAGAAGTGGAGGTCTGAAATATTTGGGGCACGTTTCTGGTTGTAGAGCAGAGCATTTTTTTGGAGCTCCCAGGAGAAAGGGAGAGCTGCGTTCCCTTTCCTTCTTTCTCCCTCCATCCCTTTTAAGCCTGCCAGCAGGCTCCCCTCCCTCCAGCATGTCCTCCTTGCCCTTTCCCTTGCTGCTGGATGCTGCTCCCTGTGCTTGTCCTGCCTCTCCTCTGATGCTGTGGCCATTCCTCTCCTGTGATGGAGGTTACCTCTCTGCCCTGCGAGTGGGGAGGCTTGGACGATAGCTGAGGAGACACCCCACGCTGCGGCCCATGCCGGTGCGCCCAAGCAGGGGAAGGGCAGTGGGGCAGCACTTGGAGGCGAAGGCAGGGCCTGTGCCTGGCCTCAGCGCTCCTTGCCTCATTAGGCCTACAGCTACACTATAATAGTGCTAAAAAGGTGCTCCTGCCATCCCTGCCCAGGTTTTGGAGCCTGTGGCTCTCAGTACGGGTGTAAATGACCCAGGCCAGAAGCTGATGGGTGTCCCGTTGCCACAGAGCCTGGATGCAGGCTACTCCTGGGGTGCCGGTGTTCGGGGTGGGGACTGGCAGGGGGGGGGCTGGGGCTTCTTCCCGTCCCTGCGCCCTTGTGAGAGCTTGCAGCTGTCCTGCTGGAAAGGATGGGATTTTGCAGGGAGCTGGGGAAAGGGAGAAAAAGCAGGAGGTGGATGTGGCTTGGAAGAAAATCAGGCGGAAAAGGGGCAATTGAGGTTTTTGCCTTGTGTCTCCAGGAGAGCCTGGGCAGGGCCCTGGTAGGGGGGATGGAGATCACCCCGTCCCTCGCTGCAGCTGCTTTTGGAAAGTTTCCTGGGAAAGGGCTCGGGAAACGGGAGCCTCCAGCAGAACTGGCTGCTGCTACGACCCTCTCGAAGGCCGGCTGTTTATTTGTTCGCATTGTCATACCCTGGGAGGTTTTTCACCTAGGGCGCCTCTTTCTCCCTGCCTATCTGTGTGCCAGTGTGTAGAGCTGTGTGCAAGCGTGGCTGTATGTAGAGGTGTGCGTGCATCTATCTTTATGGGTGTGCGTGCGTATGCGCATATCTATCTATTTATCTTTATGGGCGTGTGTATTTATCTCTCCATCCCTGAGACTTTTGGAGAGGCTGGGAGAAGAGGGGGTGGGGTGGGCTGTCTCCCGGATAGTTGATATTCCAGGTTCAGCCTCTTTCTCCGCTCTCATTCTCTAAACCCAGCCAGGGGGAGTGTCGCCCCAGGCCGAACATATGCTTCTTTCCATTGCACTAATCCACCTTCAGCGTGGAGGAATAATTGCTCGAGTGTCCATGGCTCCTCGGCGCTTTGTCCCTCGCTGGCTCCCATCAGCTTGGCACACGCCATTTCAATCAAATCCTTTCAGAGCCCTGTCTCCTTTTATCACGTCCCCGCTCCGGCGAGAGGAGGGAGGGGAGGACCGGGCTCCCCGCAGCCCCGGCGGGGCCGAGCCCGGCCCGGGGCCC